CGAACTCGCGACCTCCAGTTTACGAGACTGGCGCTCTAACCAACTGAGCTATGGAGCCACGTGTAGCACGTTTTCCTCACAATGTTCTTCATATAAGAAAAAGTAACATCAGCTGCTGTAGTAAGATAGTCGGGGTATTCTTTATTAACTTATGAAACTGTTCGAATACCTAAAGCAAGCGTATCATTTGAGATCCTCCAGCGCCTAATGGCGTTTTCCAGAATAAAGCAGTTCAGCATTTGAGTTTGTACTTTCATCTGCTTCAGCAGCGCTAAAGTTATTTCTCAAAGGCTTTGTATGGAGTTACGCATAGCTCTGAAATTTCTAACCTCATAACGGGCCATCTATTTATTATTCCTAATACATATACGGATTAATATGCGAATGTTGAAAAAGAACTCAACCAGAACAAACTGACCTTTCACATGTACCTGTCTTCGATGGAACTGTCCCGTCCGTGGCTGCATGTGCGCATTACTAAATTTCTGTTCCTCCAAATGCTCTCATTTCTGCCAACGAAAACAGAAGATTTGCTATATTTCATATCCTCCACGTGGAAGCAGTTCATGGTTATATTAATAAGAGAATAGACTGAGATAACTGTTTCCTGCTCACAAAACTGGCTTCTGGCGAATCCTCTCTGCAGATGATATTCAAATTATGTTATGCTAAGGCGCAAAGGGGCAAAAGTGATTTCCTAGCAGACATTCAAAACGGTGGTCACCCAGTTACATCATGACATTCCACTCTTCAGCGGTGATCCTCTCTCAGGCTCTAGCGAGATTCAAACTCGCGACCTCCAGTTTACTAGACTGGCGCTCTAACCAACTGAGCTATAGAGCCACGTTAAGCCAATTTTTGACACTATGCTCAGCCCACAAGGAAAACCAATATCAGCTAATGTAGTATGATAGTTGCAGTATTCTTTATTAGCTTCCGAAACCGCTTGAACACGTAAACCAAGCTGCTCGGTCGTTTGAAATGGTCTGGCGCCTAATGGCCTGTTCGGCAGTTTAGGATTTCTGTATTTGAGATTGTATTTCCATGTGCTTCAGCGACGATAAAATTATTTCTAAAGCGAGCATCCTTTAGAACTTCGCGTAGATGTTTTCAATGCAACTGTGCCGCCTGTGCTTGCGTACGGTCATTAATAGTTTTCTGTTCATTTAAGTGCTTTCATTTCTTCCAATCAAAAACAGGGTTGACTTTATGTCATATCTATCCACACGGAAGCAGCTGATCACTTATGCTAATAAGAGGACGGACTGAGGTAACTGTTGTTTCCTGCCCACAAAATTACGTTCTTAAGGATCCATGCAGATTACGTTATCCTAAGGCGCAAAGCGGCAAAAGTGATTTGGTGGCAGATTTTCAATACAATGACCTTCCACCTTGATCATGGCTTTTCTCATCTTGACGCTGCTTGTCTCCCA